ATTACTCACCCGAATTGTATTCATCATAATAGTCAGAAAAGTTTGTTCTTTTAAATATATTAATGTTTTGATAGAGAAAATTTTATGTTTATTTTGAAAAAATTGAAAATAAGATGGAATTTTAATCAATTTGAAAAATTTATTAGTTCATAATAAATTTCAAATCTTAAACGCGTATATCTTGAGATTGCCAGTTACGTCGATTAAAATTCCATCTTATTCTCAATTTGGTTAAAATTGCTGGCGAAGTTAATGTACTTATTTGTTTATTTTGAAGATTTTATTTTCAATTTTAATTGTTTGTATTGCTTAAAAGTTTGAAAATTGATTAAAAACTGCAAACAATACACTCATATTAGGAGTTAATACCTAAATAAACAATAACCACTCGAAGGTTAACGCTTAAATTGTATTTCTTTTGTAAATATTATGCAGTTGAGAAAAAAATAAAGATTTGATTTTAATTCCTCTATGAGAAAGCCAAACTAATAAATACTAATAATTATGCATCGAATAAAATACAAGTTTCCTCATAAGAGGAGCTTTGTGAGCAAGATAAAATAGGAGCAATGGTAGCAATCTGTAATGAAGAGGAAGCAATGTGCAAGTTTCTAATTTGAACACTTTTTTGTTACTTTCATAAAAAAATATCAGTCCAAATATAATAATTTGTTTGTTACAAATATATGTTAAAATGTGAGAACATACCTGATTGGTAAGCAGTTATTCTGTTCAAGAATTTTCAAAACTTCTTCACGAAAAGTGAATCTCCCTTCTCCATGAGCCACCCATACACCTAGCACGCTATCCTCCATGCCTTTTAACATGATCGAGGGCGAGTTCTTGATTCGAACAGTGGTCCACCTGCACTCGAATCTCTCCGACAGATTATGATCCAAGCAAATTCCTGGTCTGTCTTTAGTGTTCTCGTCACCTACCCAGCCTAATAGACTCATCAACTGGCAACCATTGCAAACGCCCAAACTGAAAGTATTTTCACGAGCAACAAATCGCGATAATTGTTCACGTAGAGATGGATGGAAAAGGAAACTGGCTGCCCATCCCTTGGCAGAACCACAAACATCAGCATAGCTGAAGCCTCCAGGGAAGATAATACCCCTAAAGACATCCAACGTAATTCGGTTTTTCAGCAGATCTTGCATCGTAACATCCCAGACATCAAAGCCGGCTTCCAACAGAGAAGCTGCCATCTCTCTATCTCCATTAATTCCTTCCTCTCTTATGACGGCTACTCTGACACGCTCCAAATCCTTTAGTATTGAATGAGATCTAACAGGGTCAAAACCCAGACAATAAGCTGGAATAGTTCGTTCCCTCAGACTGGAAAACTCTTCCAAGGCACAAATAATGTTTGTTTGATAGCGTTCTAGTTGATAACTAGTTTCTTCCCAAATGTTCATCGAATCAATCACTGTAGTGCTCAATACAATCTCATTTCGAACTTTAACGACTATCTTCGAGTTCATTCCAAGACCCACGGACTTTCCGATTGAATACACTGGAACTCCGTAGCATTGGAACATTTTTATCGCTTCATTTTGAAATTTTTCATCGATTTCCAATATCCAACCAACCTCTTCGGAAAATAAAACGTCAATGACAGGTGCAGGTTTATGAATTATATCAACGTTTATTCCTGAGATTCCAGCGAAGCACATTTCTAGAAGACAAGTAATCAATCCACCATCACTAATGTCGTGACCAGCGAAGACCTTCTTATCGGCGATTAGTTGTTGCGTAGCATTAAAGGCATTTTTGAAAGCCTGTGCATCTTCGACGTCCGGCACATCATTGCCTAATTGATAATAGACCTGAGACAAGGCAGTTCCTCCAAGCCGGCTCTTGCCATAAGACAAATCAATGAAGAGCAAGCAACCTTGTTGTCCTATAGCGGGAGCTTTAAGATCGGGAGTGACTACCTGACGAATATCGGGACACGGTGCGTAGCAAGATATGACGAGAGCACCGGGTGCCTTGACAATATCCTTATCGGTACGTACGGCCATGCTGAGCGAATCTTTACCGCCATCGATTGCGATCCCAAATTCCTTCATCAGTGAACACATCGCTGAACAAGCCTTGTAGAGTGCTGCACCTTCACCCGGAAGCTTTGCTGGCCACATCCAATTGCCACTACACTTGACATCTTGTAATGCGGAAACTCGCGCGAATACTAAATTGCTAAGAGCTTCGGCTACTGTCATTCGAGCACCAGCTGCTTCGTTCACTAATCCTTTAATCGGCTGTTCGCCAATGGAAGTTGCGATGCCCTTCGTAGAAAAATGCGAAATGGCTGTCACAGCAACATCTGCTAGAGGAGTATGCAATGGACCAACACATTGCTGCTGAGCCACTAAGCCAGTCACGCAACGATCTACTTTATTCGTTAGATACCTGGTAAGAATGCAATACAAAGTTTTTAGATTTTATTCATATCATATTCTTAAAAAAATTGAAAAATTAGAGATTATAAAAATAAGAAATTTTTTAATACTTTCACAAAATTATGTAAATGATTGAAACGCAATACAAATATTAACTGCTATTAACAACTTAGAATAAAGAAAATCGGAGGAAGTACTATATTAGTATAATACAATTTTTTATATATTTATGTACTTTTTATTTTTTTATATATATATTATATATTCCCCGAATTTATTCTCTTATACAGGCATGAAATTTTGTAATTTAAGAAATATATTTAATTGTTTCATCCCACTCCCATTTTAATGAGCATTAAATATATTATAGTATAAATCAATATGAATAGCGTTATTGCTTATTTACTTTTTTAGTAATATCTTTATTCCTTATTTAGTCTTAGTATACACTTTTATAAGTATATACTTTTAAAAATTTCAATGTAATATATATCACTAACAAAAATATATAGTACTTCTAAATATTTTATTCATACTATGTCCTATATAAAACTGTCTAAACTAAATAATCATATAAATACGGAAGGAGGTTCTACAGGTACTCCCTAGTCAGTTGAGAGATGAAGAGAAAATCTTCAAATTCATCGATTCTAAGTATTCATAAAATATTTTCGTGAATTTTGATGACGTTAGAGCTTATATCATACCCATATTAGTCGAAGCGAGGAATAATTAAAAATATCGTGTAACTGCTCCTTTGACTCTGGCGGCTTATAATGGAAGAAAATGTGGTAACGTCGCGAACTTGACAGTTCTGCTCATATGACCGTGGTTATTTCACAATTTCACATAATTCTAGAGCGAGTACTTCTCCGTAAGCGCTCGTAAACGTTAGGTGCTTAAGTTTGAGGTGCTGTCATACTGTGGTGCTGTACTGGCTGTACACTTTTCGCGCGGGTGCAGTCGCTGCGACATTGCCAAATCTCCCTTGTTATTCGAAGCACGCTACGTGAACTGTGATATGGCCTGTTTCAATAGCCAATATCACAAAATTTTACGCGATAACACTTGTTTTTCTCGATATTTCTGAAAAGGTTAGATTAAGATCTACAATAAGAGCTCCGTTTTTTTAATCTCTGGTAGGTCGTCTTTATATAATTAATATCTCGTTTCCTGTCTCCAAGAGCCCCTCTGCCATATGTAGCTTATGTTAAAAACTGTGATTTCAAAATTCATTTTTGCAAATTTTTACACGGTAACCGATGCTAAAATTTTTCGAGCACTTTTCTCGCATCTCAATTTATACGTCCATAAAGTTTTTTCCAATTTTCAGATACATCCATTATCTGTAGAACCTCCTTAATGTTGTCAATGTCTTTATTTGAATAAGAGATTTTTTAATTCTAAAAAAACAATTTTACTACACATTAATCCCCTGATTGTCAATGACGGAAATATCCGCACATCCGAAAAAACTGGCCAGGACTGTTTATGACGAAAAAATCCGCACATTTAAGAAAAGATACTTTTAACGGAGCAATTAAAACAGTACCTTATTTTTTCATGTATTTGGGGTCACTGAATTTAAATTTCAAATCAAAATTGTGAAATTCAAAATGGCAGATTTAATATTGCAAATTAAAAATGCAAAAAATTGTTTAATTTGCATAATATTTAAAAGTTTTTGAAACCGCTGATTTCAAATTCAAAATAAAATTTCAAGAATTTAAAATGGTAAATTCAATATGATAAGCAAAAAATTCAAAATATGGTTTAATTGCATAAAAATATTTGAAGAGTTTTTGAAGCTATTGATTCCGTTTTTTAAATTAAAGTTGGTTAATTTCAAATGACAGATATGATGGCCAAACATTTAAAATATCACTAGATTTGCATAAAAATTAATTTGTAAGATTTTATAATTAGCCAAGTTCGTCAAGTATGCAGAAGTATGAGTCGTCAAAGCAACTCTGTGTCTTTGTTAGAATTTATGTTTTTTTGTTCCTTGATATGCAGCATTTCCGATATAAGTTTCTTATGAAAGTTAGGTTCAGAATCACGTATTTCTGTGTTGTGCCAATCAAAAGTGTAAAAGACCCACACAACTCTTATGGAAATTAGATTTCGGTAAAATGGGCAAAAACTTTGGAAATAAATAGTTTATGTGATGCTGATCAAAAGTCACAATAGGCATGCAAGATTCACAATAATAAACAGTTTAGGCGCTATCAATGTTCAAAAGTCAAAATAAGGTTGTGGTGGCCGCGCGCGCCCCTACCAAGATGCCAACACGGTAATTAGACACGTTTTCTCGCGGGCGCTTGACCACGCCGACGTAAATATATAAACAAATTCGACAGCAATATTCATTGCCCTGATCGACACTCTCACCGACAATCTCATCGGACGACAAGAGTTAGGCAGGCATATAGTGGAGTGGCACCAACGCGACTCGCAGAGAGTCGCATGGTATTTTTGGGGACGCATCCTCCACATACCATCGTTACATCCAACCATACACTTCTCTCCATCACTATTATCCATGATCGACATCGACATACGTATCCCCACAAGGTGTTATTTTAATACTATTGTAGGACAGTAGATTTTGATGAAATTGGTTGAAGCTTCGGAAATAGATAGTTTATATGATGCTGATTGAAAGTTATTAATAGACAAGATTCACAATAATTGACCGTTTAAATGCTATCAGTTCAAAAGTCAAAATAAAGTGTTATTTCAGCACTATTGTGTGAGTCTTTTACAATGTATTATTCTGTAGAATCACACAACTTATTCTTTTTATTAATACAAAAATATGTATTTATGTAAAAAAAAAATATGTACATGCGTGTATGTATTGTGACGTGACATAGTCACGTCCCCTGTCCAGACGATAGCTCGACCGGGGGGAACGTCCGGGATGTCGTCTCCGCCGGAGCGAGGCGGGGCGGCAACGTTAGAATTCGGTACATTATATTATTTTCGAGGATTTCAGGTATCGAGTAGATGACCAGGAGGAAATTGTAACGACTTGAGTCGCGCCGAGGGAGTTTACGAGAGGCGTTCTACGTAGGAGTTGGCCGGCGGGCGGGTCACGATTGGGCCCATATGCCGGCGTTGGAGCGTCTCGCAGGGCGAGCGCATCAGCCCCGATGTTCGCCGGGATGAAGCCTGCCGAATCGCGAAGGAGGGAGATCGCCACGGAGCATTGCCTACCGGTCGACGGAGCCATCCTGGCCAGCCTGGCCGTCGTACACCGGCACCAGAGTCGCGGCCCGGTCAGCCGGACTCGAGAATAGGCTTTTCAAACCTGCCGCCGGCGAGCGAGGAAGCCACGAGGGGCGCCGACGCCGACGGAAGCGGGAGGCGCTCGGCTCGCATAGGGCTTTTTAGGTCTCTAGCACATGTGCCGTCGGGCTAGAGGATCGTCACTGTCGTGTCAGCGTGGCGAGGGACGACATCCCGAGAGGACCAGCAGCCGAGCTTGCGTAATTTGTAAGGCCACTACTCGAGCACCTCGTAACCCACGTCTGGGTACAAGTAAGATTGTTCTGACGGCCGGGACCCTTCCGAGAGCGGCATAGAGCCGCGGGAAGCATGCTTAGAGAATCGCGTACCGTGTCGCGAAGTATTTGGTAGCATCGCGTTTGTGCTGATGAGAACTACCAAGCAAGTAATTATTAAATGGAATACTGACGGAGGGCCCGGCCAACAGAGTAATATGGGATCGCCCTGCCCGAAAAATCGTACGCGGCCGACAGTCACCGTGTGATTCGTTGTAGTTTTTGTCGTGTCTTAGTGTTTCGTGTAATAGCGTTTTGTGTAACCGTGATGCGTAATGTAGCGAGGTGTCCTTCGCGCCGAGGTGGACCGTATTGTCGCAGAACGGGGGAGTAATGTTCGCGCAATCACGTCCCGGGGCGTGAGGCACCTGTTTTAGATCTTTGGGGCTTTTCGCGGGAGGCCCGCGTCTAGCTATTTATTTGGGACCATTCGCGAGACGTCGCGGGTGGTTATTCGGCCGTTGGAAAATCGTCGCGCGTAGGTATTGTGTCTTGCGTTCGTGTAATCGCGTATTGTGTATTGCGGTCGTGTAACTGCGTCTTATAAGTTGCGTCCTTAGGCTAATTTCCGCGTTATTGTATCTCGTAGTTTCCGCGTTCCGCAGCCAAACATTCAAGAGAAAATTTGTAATTCACCGATTCATTTTAAAAAAACCTGCCGATTTATTCTGAAGTAATCTTCTCTCTAAGATTGTAATTCACCGATTCCGTCTGAAACAACTTGCTGATTTATTCTGACGTAACCTTTTCTGTCAAATACATTATATTTGTATTATTGTTATTTGCGTGTGTTAACTGCGCTACGTTCCCTCTCCTCCTCCGACCGCGATTATCCGAAGAAACTCACACCTGAGAGAATTGCGATCTTGTGGATCGTGGTGCGAGGAATCGCACCTGGCGCCCAATATTTTGAGGAATTATTTAGTCGAGCTACCATCTGGGTTTCTGAGAGTCTTGTCGTGATTGATTTTTCGTAAGATCTTTAGTGAATAAAGCGACAGCGCGCTCCTTCACGGCCGGCGAGACCGTGAGGACATCGTCGTTGTCGTCACAGTATACACACATATATGAATTATAACCGCGGAATTTTAACCACGCTGTCATACCTCGGCCGCACAAAAAAAAGAAGTGTCAAATCAACATTGATATACTTGTATATACGCAAGAATATATAATTTTGAAATGAGATTATATTGCGTTAAACAAAGAAAACTTGCTTGAATAAAGTTATTTATGTAGTTAAACGAGATTTTATATATGGTTCAATTAAGAAAAAAAAGTTGAAATAAAAAGTTGAAATTCTTATAAGAAAATTATATATTCTTACGTATATAAAAGTATATCAGTGTTGATTTGATACTTTTTTTTCTGTGCGCCAGCCGGGCTTCATATATGTACATGCATGTACATGTTTTTCACATAAACACATATTTTTGTATTAACAAAAAAAAATAAATTACGTGATTCTGCAGAATAATACATTTGTAATTCACTGTCTTACAATAGTACTGAAATAACCTTGTTTTGACTTTTGAACGCTGATAGTGCTTAAACGGTCGATTATTGTGAATCTTGCCTATTATAATTTTCGATCAGCATCACATAAACTATCTATTTCCGAAGCTTCAGCCAATTTCACCAAAATCCAATTTTCATAAGAGTTGTGCAGAAAAGGGGTCCTTTAGTAATGTTCAGAGATTACAGAATGCTTAAATGGGTCCGTTTTAATATTTTTTTTGCGTTCATTGATTTTAAACAAAAAAAACAGGATAAATTCTAACAGACACAGAATTGCTTGACGACTCATATTTCAGCATACTTGACAAATTGGTTAACTATAAAATCTAATTTATTTCAATTAATCTCACGCATAAAGATGTATATACTTTATTAAAATAAAGGAATTGTCGTATGTAGGAACTATAGTATAATGCGGCATAGCAACTCGATCGTCCTTCGGTCGCGTAAATATTTTCGTGCCCGCTTCGCGACAAGAGCGTTAGTTTTATGTTCGACGTTATTTTGTTAAAAGCAGCGCGTCCCGGCAACGGGAAAAACAGGCTCAGTCCTGCGACGACCGCCGAAAGAGCCAGTCTCTCTCGTTTTCACGATTCTGTATTCAGTAATAAATCCTGACTAATATAATACATTTTAACGAGTGGCTTCCTCCCCTTACACGTATGTGTACAAATAATAAAAGAAAAGGGCCAATAAATCGAGCAAACAAAAAATTATTGGCAAGAATGTTATTTCCGGGGCCCCTCAATTTGATAGGTGTATTTGATAAATCTTTCGCTGAGAAAAAGAATGCCGCAAACCACAATGCGCTACAATGCACATTGAAAACTATCACATTCAACTTTTCTTGTCAAATATATAATAAGTAATAACAGACTTCCAAATTACACTGTTCCTCTAACAATTTCTAATTGTTTATACGATTTTTTTTTAGAACTTTCTTTACATATTTTGACTATCTAACATCTCCGAAATCAATAACATTTTTGACGACTTTAATTCTTACTATTTGACCCGATTTGTTTTCGCTTCCGACCGAGGAATTAATTATATAAATATTCTAACCGCGGACTACGTTTTATCTTGGTCTTACAGTCGGACATTATATAGATCCAACGACTATCTAGTTATGTATCGTCATGCTTTCAACTGTAATGTGGTTTCTTGATCATGTTATTGGATTTGTGACTTTTATCTCATTTTCTCTGTTTACTCTGTTTAAACGCTTGACTCATTTCAATCTGTTCTCTATGTTACGTTAAAGTATTAAATGTTTAATCTGTATGACTGAAGAAGACTTGGTGAAGTCGAAACGTACCAATTTATAGTATATATATGCAAATTAATAAAGTAATTATTTAACATCTATTGTTCATTAACCCTTTTTCATTTCTATTTTTGTACATGAGCGTGTTCACTCCTTGATTAATTTTTATAAACTTTTCCGCCATTTTAAATTTTAAAATTTTGACCTCAGATTCAGATTTAGCGAATTAAAAAATCCTCAGAAAGCACCTTTTTCATAATTTTATTAACTCTTTTGTCAAAAACATTTTTTACCCACAAGCATTTTTTTCACCTAACAGTCAAGGGGTTAATAAATATGTATAAGATTAAATGCTCTTTAAGTATTTCCTATAAACAAAATTTAGAATTTTCAAAAATTAAGAAAAATAAGAGACACTTAAAAAATGTATTTATAAAAGAACTAAATTATTTTAAAAGTTAAAAACCATTGAACATTTATTTTAAATATTATTTCCTATTGACCATGTTTGCTTAAAAATGTAAAATTCGATCTTTTATAACAAAGTATTTCATTTTTGTAACGTGCAAAAAAACACTTATAAAAAAATGTGGATATTTTATTACGAATTGTCCTATAATATATGTAAAACTTATGAAAATCGAAAAGCAACACTTGCATCTTTTTCGCTATTAATAAAAAATAATATAATAATATAATAAAAATATATATATATATAATAACATAAAACATACCGCTTGCTAGCTATTGAAGGAAGCCGTAAAACTCTATCCAACGCGCTAAGCACAGTTAATCCATTAGGCAGTTTCATTGGAAATCTCTGCAACGGCATCTCACGTAAATTAAAAACCTTGCAAGGCATTTTTCCAAGAATGACCTCCAACTCTAGGTTTACTGGATGCTTACTGCTATCTAGGTTTTTGTCTTCGTTATTTAGATATTTTGAAATATCGCAATTCTCTTCCTCAGAAACAATAATTTTTCCATTTCCCGTAACAGTGCCGACAAAATTGATTGGACACTTTTCACGCGCAGCGATTTTCTTCAACAAATCACTGTCCTCCGGCTTACATAAAATTGCGTCGCTCTCTTGGTACTCCGCACCCCAAAGCTCCAACGTGCTGATACTGGGATCACCAAGGTCAAAATTTCTCGTGAAGATAACAGCACCGGCAGGCTCAACTAACTCCTTCAAGACATTTCCGTTGCCACCAGCACCTTGATCATGAATGCTAAGAATCGGATTATCATCACCCATCTCTGCACACGCGCGCACAACGCGATTCAATTTTTGCTCCATTTCGGGATCGCCGCGTTGCACAGCGCCGAAGTCCAGTTCCATGCTATTGTCACCTTGCACTTCCATAGAACTCGCTGAACCACCACCTACACCAATTCGATAAACAGGTCCACCAATCTTAACTACTTTCATACCTCGCTTTGCCGGAATCTAAGACAAAACATAGCAGTTATATTAATAGTAATATATAGTATATGTATACATATAATAGTTACACTAATAAATATGCAGTAGATCGTTCTGCTATAAGTCTTTTGACAAAAAAATGATTTTTAAAGAAAAAGATTGTGGTAATTATACAGAAAGAGGGCAACTTCATGTATAACCTTGAAGGTACACTTAGGAGAATGACCTTGACCTTGATATAAGGTGTCAAGTGACCTTCAGAAGGTTTTAGCCGGCTGTTCAGATATTGCGCTCGAATTCTTTTCGTGTTTTGCAAACACCCGATTGTTTCATTCAGATATGCTTGGCTATCTGGGTCACTTCTTTTTTCAATGACTTCGCAGAGCCTTATTTAATGCAGGCTACCTCTTTTTACACAGACAGTTCGAAATCCAACTCAGATAATCCGGTTGGATTCAACGTTTACTCTCCTACTTTGAACATAATTATTAAGCATAAGCTCTCTTGTGACGTCTCTGTATTCTCGGCCGAACCCTGGGCCATTTACCAGGCCCTCATAATTATCGTCAACCGTCAATATAGTAAAGTGTTACGTATGGAAATTTTACCCTAAAATTTCAAACGACGCACATTAGAATTTTTGAACGTTTTAGACGACGCACGCTAGCTCAGAGTTCCAAGTATAAATGTTTTGTTTATCTTTCGGTTATCAAACGGCTGTTGACAGGCTGAGGCCCAGATGGGGCCTAAAACTACGCTTCTAGAAATTTCTAGAAAACCTTCCCCCCTTAAGACGCGTAGGAAGTGGTGAGAATCTCGCGCGGGGGGTTCTGGCCATTTCGGATATAAATAGGACGGAAAACGCCGCGGAGCGACACACATCGTTTTTAACTTTGATTCTAACGACACTTCAATTTCGACTCCAGAAACATCGATTTTTAACTTTGTCTCTAACTCTTATTTGACTCCAGACAGTCACTTCTAATTTCTAAAATTCGACTGTACGTTTAAGACCGAACATTCGCGCTCGATTCTGGGACTTAATCCCTGTACTCTTATATTTTAAGACCGCGTTTCACGCATAACTTAGTTTTGTACTAAGACTTAAAGAATGAAGGTAAGATAAGTTTGAGAAAAGAATAAGCTTGAAATCGGAAATCTCATCTCGTATTTGTTGAATCTTTAATTAACAAATTCACTCCTGAGATACTACTCGCTAACAAATTAAGAGTGTAGCGATCTGTCCTTTTCGCTGACGAAGAGTGATGTAACGAACTGGTACTTTCGCTGCCAAAAGGCGTGGCAATTACGGAGTTGATTCTCGGGAATTGCAATAATCGTTAATAATTCCCGAAAATGAATTTGGCCTCTACGCTGATGAAGAGTGTAGCGGATTGGCTCTGGGCGCTGACAAAGAGTGTGGCAATCAATCAAATTCATTTTTGAGAACGCGGCTGAATGATGAAAAAGGAAGGTAGACGAGTTCAAATTAAAAGAATTAGGTTCCAGATCAAACAAGCTATTACTTCTAATCAAAATCCTTTCTCCCTCCTCTAGAAATTGCAACAATTAGAAAACGCATCTCCATTTAAATTTATTTCTGTTGATTTCATAATTGATTATCCTAATTATAATCAAATAAATAGAATTGATCCTCGTTACGAAACTTATAAAGTTCGATATCTTTTCGCTCCCAAATAATAATAATAATTATCACACAACTTGTCCAAATCTCTGATAAATTACTTAAATGCATTGACCAAAAAACGGACAAACAACAGACAGAACGTGACAAAAGCGACAATCTTATCGGACTCTAAAAGCGTGCTAGAAACTGTTTCTTCTTGGAGAATTCCACATCCCAATTATATAGTATTATTTCCTTAATTAAACATAAGCTTGCAGAAGCTACTTCCTTAGGCATTGAGATTGTGATTATTTGGATTCCTTCCCATAAGGGAGTTAAGAGGAATAAAATTGTGGATAAGGCGGCTAAATCGGCCGTTTTTCACGGTTTTAAACATCATTTTAAAATACCCTATCCTGACATGTGTATTATAGTAAAGCGGAAACTGAACAAACGTTTTCATAAATAATCCTCACGCGAGAGAGGTAACTTTTAGTTTTCCATATATAAATCTACAGCAGATAATAAACCTTGGTTTTACTCTACTTTTTTAAGGAAAAAAGAAATTGTAATGATTAATCGACTAAGAAGCGATCATTACAATTTAAATCACAATTTAGCTCGTAAAAATATCATCAGCTCACACAGCTGCCCTTGTGGTGATCCCCGCCAAGATGCAAATCATATCACTTTCCACTGCATTCTTAATTCTCAGAGCAAACTTTCTTTTGAGTCCTCTTGATATTTTTCCACTGCTCGTTAATCCCCTTGTGGTATTATGTCGTCTGCTTTTATCCTTCTTCAAATCCTGTTAGCTTACCATTTAAATTTCCCTCCTATGACCCTTACGGACAATACGGAAACTAAAGAACGCGCGTATGCGCTGAGAGATGACATAGGCCTCATCGAGTGTATAGCGACTCACACCTCATTGGCTGAAATACGAAACGGTGGAGAGTCGCCTTAAGACTTTCCACGCCTGCGCCATAATCGCAATCGTGCGCATCCCATAAAGGTGCGATTTCATTGACGCTAGAAACCAGCGGCAGCGTCAAGAAAATGTAGTGGGGGGTAGAAGTTCCGTTGAATTTTGCGGTACGTTAAAAAGTTGAGACGGTCTGAACTTTTTCCCCCACTACATTTTCTTGACGCTGCCGCTGGTTTCTAGCGTCAATGAAATCGCACCTTAACGGTTCAAGCACTTGTGTCTCGACAGTGGAACGGAACTCGTGTTTCGCTATTCAAGCGTAACAGACATTCGTTTATACAAGCACGAAACGATGTTACATACAGTTCCTACGGTATTTCGCATATAACTTTGTTACGCGATCACCGAACTCTTTACCGGGTTCTTTACCCGCTTGTATAAATATTACCTAACATTGTACATACATTGTATTACGTCTTTGTAAATATATGATTGTCCCAAACTCCCGAGTCATCATTTGAACACGCGGACCTTAACGGCCATCTTGGTCAATAGTAGAATTCCGACCGTACGAATTCCTACAAGTAGACTCGGACCATACCAAAGAAAAAGAAGAAGATCCTCTCCGATTTCGATGAAATGAGGCTCAATCGACGCGTTTTTGCTCAAAACGACCGAATCTGGCAGAAAAAAGCGTCGCTCTGCCCCGCGACGCGAGATATTAAACGTTAAAGTTGACAGGAATCAACCCTGCTAAAAATGACCGATTGAATCCGATTGGTTTCGCATTAAATTTGGTGAAATTGAATCGGAATGAATGCGTTTTCAATCCGGTTAATTAGATGCTCGATTGGAAGTAAATCGGTTTTAATAACAAATCAATCGTTTTTAATTCGGCATTTACGGATTGATCTGAAACCGACTCAATCGGTTTCAATCGTAATAATGCCAATCCATTTTAATCAAGTATAAATAAAGTTACCGCATGAATCGTATTGAATCCGCATATATCGTGAAATTTTAATACAATACCGGAATCGGATTTAATGCGATATTTCCGGATTTATTTGAATCCGACTCAATCAGTTTCAATCGTATTAATGCCAATCCATTTTAATCGGGTAAATAAAGTGGCTACATGAATCGTATTGAATCCGCATCAATCGTGAAATTTTAATACAACACCGGAATCGGATTTAATGCAATATTTCCGGGTCCATCTGAATCTGACTCAATCGGTTTCAATCGTATCTGCGCTTAATCCATTTCAATCGAGTAATGAAAGTATAGCTATGTAAATCGGATTAAATCCGCTTTAATCATTAAAATTGTATATAGCACATAATTTTTTCATAATAAAGTTCTTACTACAGGATTTTCTTTTGGTAACGTCATGAGTTCTATATTTGCGAAACTGTAAAAAAATCCCAAAATATTGTGTAAATCAGAATAATACTTAATATCAAGAGACACGGTAGAACGCACGAGTTGCGAGTACTCGAGATTTTAATATCTCAATAACGAGTAAACGGATCAAGTTCTAAGTAGACTTGATCGATAGCTTGGGTTTGAATTATATAATAAGAGTGTTTTTATTTTTCCGCTACGTGCCCTACGAGCGGAGATATTACGATGCAAAGTCCGAAATTTTACAATTAAGAAATGTCGTCGTCACCGTACGTACGGTTGCTTTTGCCTGGGTATTATAGATGGCTTCTTCTTCTTATAATTTAGCCATCAAGCAGGCCTGCTCAAAATAGAGGCCAGGACGAACCACTCGTCGTATAAGCCGCGGACAGCGTAAATCACCAAGGTTGTAGGCCTCGAAAGGCGCCGATACAAGAGTCACGAACTTCGTCGATACAAGACATTGAGCGGTGCGGTAAATTGCCGCGAGAGCACTCCGCGCCCCACGGCCGAGCACCGGCGTAGTCGATACGTAACGGCCCCCACTCCCGCGCACAGAAGAAGGAACCAAGGGTGCGTTCGGTTTGGACGCTCACGCGCTGTAAGCGCTCACGCTTATAAGCGCTGTTTTCAATCGTTCGATTTGGTATCTGAGCGCTTACACAATAGTAAGAAATATCGTTCGTTTTGGCAATGTAAGCGACTATGAGCACGTCAAAATGGCAGACGATAGGTTATTGTGTGTTATATTTGCGCAAATAATAACATTATTAGAATTATTATTCGATGAGGAAAAATATTTAATTTATAAAATAAACTCTTTTTTAGAATAAAGCAAGCAACATTTAATTTTATTCTACAAATTTTAAAACCTAAATTACTAAGATCAAAATCAGGACGTAAAACAATATCACCTGAAAAACAATTATTTATCGCTATATGGAAAATGGCCACCCCAGATTCATATCGGTATGTCATTAATGTTATTATTACACATTGTTGTTTCAATTTTTAAATAAAATAAAAGGAAGTAAGAGAGGCAATCAGAGCCACGCGCGGTAA